AAGAGAATCAAAGTATTGCAGTATCCAATCCCAAATTGCCTGGATTTATTGCGATAAACTGGATTTATTGCATTAATTGCAACTGGTGCTCGGAGAATATGGGATTGCGAAATTGGCAGCGAGATTTGCGATCGGCATATCCCAAGCTGGCAAAGGATGGAGAACCAAAACAGTCCATTGTTGCTTTCCAAACGTGAAAGGAAATGCACCTTAAGAGCTTTAAGCAAACATTGCATTTAGTTTTTGTACTGGACTGTTGACTTCTTGAGGTTAACTTCCCAATGCATCATTGCTTATCCCACTCACTGTGAAATCAACTGAAAGCATGACCCCCTTATCTTTAAGCTACCATATGTTTTGCTCCCACTTGAAATACATGCAACTTCTCACCCTTTACCATCCATTTGTAAAATTTAAAATTAAAACCCGCCCTCTTTCCATGGCCCATTCTCTCCATCTTTTTGATTTCTTTTTAATAATCGAAAATATTCTCATTGTTCACTGTAACACAGCTTTCATTTGCCAGCGTTTATTTATAAATTGAAATGAATATTGACAACACTCGGCGAGGCGTAAAAGATGTTCCCCGGCACATTTTGCGTTGAAGTAAAAATAAACAGTAACATCTGCAGCACAAACTGGTAAATGCTGTATATACGAAGAAACCCCTTTTTTTTAAACTAAACGCCATCTGCAATCATGCTCAGGTCTTTTTAGTGTATATAAATAGCCCTTTGTACCATTTCCTTACATGCAACACGCTTTCTTTAGCAGAACACACCAGCCTCTGTGTGCAATCATTTCCCCGTAGTGTTTCAGAAGCAGCTATATAAGGATAATTTGCATATTCTACAACCTCCAATTCACACAATGCTGCCACAAATTAATCCTCTAGGACTAATAACTAAACACTGTTTTCCTTCACTTCCAAAACTGTTCTGTATTTTTAAACATATCACAAGACTAATGGTGAGGTGGGGAATCACAATTCCATACACTAACACCTTTAGAATGCTCTGCTGTCTGCCTTGCAGGATATGAATAACAGTCAGGCGACATGTTATCATTTTGGTTAACGTGAAAGGCGCTGCACAAAGGTAACTTGTTGTTGTTGTTAACGCTGTGCATCAGAAGGTACTGGAAAATTTTCACCCCTCTCTGAAAATCAATAACGTCTTGAATTCTTAAACAGCTTAAAATATCAATTACACTTCCCAACAAATACATCTTAAAAATAAACAGTCCTTTCAACACTCTATTAAAACACACACCTCTGAATTTCAATTTCCCCCTCCCTCCTCCCCTTCTCTAAAAAAAGCACATTTCAATGACTCATTGATAGGCACAGAGCAAAATGTTGCAAATCCATTGGGTCACATTACTTAGTATTCCATGCCTCAGAAAAACATGGGATTTTTGACTCATGCCAGTGAACCTGATTTTTTGGGCGGAACCAGGCAAAGAAATGGAACAAACGTTGAAACATAATATATAGTTTGGGCTCACAAAATATACAATCAATTCACTTTACAGTATATTCTGTGAAGCACTTTGAGACGTCTCGAAGACGCGATAAGGCACTATATCAAATGCAAGGATTATTACTATTATACGAAAAAATACAGTCAAGCAGAATTTGAGTCACAAAACCCAAATTTCCAATTTCAAGGTGCTGTGAGTTTTTACTAACTTACACCCAAAGGGACACCTCATCATACGTAGTGTGTGGTGGGGAACAAATGAGGATGCAGTGAATATTATCTGTTTACTCACCAGCACAATCTTCCACCCGGTTCATTTAGTCATATTCCCCATACAAAGTACACAGTCACCACAATTTACAGTGAAAATCTGTGAAGTCCTTCGAGACTTTCCCCAGGACATGAACGATGCTATATCAATTGCAAGTACATGTATTATTATTATTATTTATTCTGTGTCCTGCAGTGTCAATTGTGTGATGCTACAATGTTGTTACGACCAGAGGGGACATCTATTACTGCCCTTTTCTGTCAGGCATTCTGAATCGAATAGCATATTTCTTTAGAAGACTGATTATGCTCTTGAATGTGTTATAGAACGTTTTACAAATTCCTGGCTCATAAATGCTCAGGGACCAATGTTTCCAGCAGAACAAATTCAAAAACTTATTTTTTCTTGAACTGACACGGGTAAGACATTAGAAAATAAGATTTAATAGAAAATCCTCTCGAAACATGATAGGAGTTTTTTTTTTGGGGGGGGAATTCTTGAAACTCTTTTACAAAAAGAAAAAAAGCTTTCTTGCATGGTTTCCCTACCGCTCCTTTCCTCTCCCTCTGATATATTTTGTTTTCCTACCTTGCAGTTTGAATTTGACAACAAATTGAAAGCAATGAATCTGTATTTTTTTAAAAAAATAGAAATGCCAACTCAACTCCCTCCCCTTCTCCCCCAACAAGGGAGCATCAGCCAAACTCATCTCAAGTCATGAGGAGCCACAGTCACTCAGGCTTGCCTTTTCGCTTAAATAACGACTGCAGAGACGTGAGCAAAATGACTCCGTCTTGTGAAAACAGTGTAGACAGAGTCTTTGTGGAAAAGGAGATGCAATGTAAGGATAAGCAAAAGGTTTTACTGTGTTGGAGATTTTTTCCCCCCACTGGTGGGCCAACTTAGTTCATTGACGGTTGTAAATTTACTGGTGGTTGAAGATCATGTTAGCCAATAAAACTATTGTTTCACTGTTTTAAAGAGAGTGTAAACAAACAAGTAAAAGTACCAAAAGACATTAAATTGGGGAGAGAAACAGACTGGACAGTTCCATTATAAGGTTGCTCGACAGCTTCAAACTCTTCCCTCGGTGCTCAACACAATAAATTGAGGACGCTCAAGAGAGAATCCCACTGGGAATGCGGAGTGCATCATGGAAATGTATTGCACTTAAAGAGACTTACTTTCCAGTGGGGAGAAGAGTAAGAACAGTCAAACACAAGACTGGTGGCAGAATGTGTCCAAGGCTGTATCTGTCAAATGACTTCCATCCTACAAACATCAGCCTGGCTCAGTTGGTAGCACTCTCATCTCTGAGTGAGAACATGGTGGGTTCAAGCCCCACATCTCGACTTTGAACTCACATTGTCCAGGATGACACTCCAATGCAGTGCTGGTGGAGTGCTGCATTGTTCAAGGTGCCTTCCATCAGATGAGATATTAAACCAAGATGTCCTGCCCGACAATCCCCAGATACAAATGGTCATCAGCTCAGTGGCTGTTTGTGAGATATTGCTTTCTGCAAATTGGCTGCCGCATTCATCAACAAAATACAGTTACTACACTTTAAGTGAATCTTATAAAGCTCTTGAAACATCCATCTGACGTGGAAGGTGCTTTAGCAAATACAAAATTAATTATTACTTGCTAACTATTAGCTTTACTGTTGAACTTTGGATTGCATTTTTGACTCATCGCTTACCAAATCTAAAATTATCCAAATCTTGCTTGGGTATATTGTTTAAAACATTGTGAAATTATTATATTACTATACTGCCATTTCCTTTTTTCAAAAGATCAAAGGCGCGATAATTTACAAACTAATAATCTAGTAGTGTGGACTTTAAGAATAATAAAGTGATCAGTTCACAAGGATATCCTGAATCCCAGATGACACGCCTGGAATGGGAGGAACTCTGCTTCTCTGGCAGGGTTACAGGCAGCTTTTAGCCACCCTGCAGCATTGAACAATTTATGACTCTTGACACAAGATTTGCATTGTTTGCATGCAAATGAGTAAACCATTGATGTTTACAATGCTCTAAAAATAGTTCTACTATTAACTCTTCGCTTTCAAATTTGGATTCAACAAGTGTTTTGGTTTGGAAAATGCAGTTGGCTATCCAGAAGCTGAAATACCTCACACAGACTATTTGGTACGACATAGCAAACGTGTGAAATCATTATTTGTGCAACCCCTGTGCAATTCTCTCGGCCGAAGCATTCTGCCTCTGGCTCCCAAGTTACTGGTTTGATATCTTTGGTTGGAGCAAAGATAGCGGAGGCTGGTACGTTCCTTCAAAGACCACTGCGGTTCAACTCCAGTTACACAAAGATATAATGTCAGTGGACATGTAAATCACCATATACTAAAAATCAATACAGCATGTAACATTATAATGAACTTGTGATCCAAAAATCACAACCAAAATGCTTCAGAGAGGTGGTTTATGAATTGTAACAAGCCTTGGAATGTCATCCATGAATATGAAGAGATCATTTTGTGATCTCATATTGTTGTGCCACAAAATTTTATCTGAGTGGCATCTTAGTTTACAAAGCTGCTAAAGATGCAATATGATACTCGACAAGGCTTTAGATGGGGATTCGCAATATACAATTGAATTTCAAGAAGATGGGGCATTATAATAAACTGTAACAGCTGACAGTTTAACATGAGGAGTTGCTTAGTTTGTTCCACCATCTATCATCTTGTGCTTCGCACTTTCAATGTTGTTGTTTGCCAATGCGAGTCTGATTCAATAATGCTTGGAACAGCTACAATGGAGTCATCTGCAACCCTTTAAGTACCCATTTAAAAGGTCATTTGTTTCTAAAAGCTTGATTTGATAAAACAAAATTGTTTGCAAATTTGACCTACTGCTGCATTTCACTTTCAGAAGCAAGAAAACAATTTAGTAAATTAATTATTTTTCTCTGCGTTCCCAAACTATTCACATTATTATCACATTATATGCCCGAGCCAAACTGTAATAATTCAAATCTAGTTTGGATGCAATAAGTAGCAAATGCAAATTGACGCAGTAATCCTTCACTGTAACATGTTCTGAAGGATTGTAACCACTGATACCAAACAAGGTTTGTTTCCAGCTTTCTCTTGATAGAAAAATGTGGTCCATTAAGTGATCTCCATTGTAACATATGGTAGTATGTATAAATCATGGTAGGTATCTACTGTAGTTCTCTGTTCAGCTAATTGTGTTCAACATGTTGATGTATCCACTTACCTCCCCAGGCTGAGGAATTGTCAGCTTTGGCAACTTGCACTTGGTGCTTGCCGTGCTAGCTTTTCCGTCCAGAAGGCTTCCAAAGGATTGGCTGCTAAAGGCATCCTCAATTTCCATCAGCGGCTTGAGCTCAGGTGATTCAAAGGGGGCTTGATCTTGGCCATCCATGGGTCTCACATAGGCAGTCGGCTTCTGCTGTACCATGCTTGACTTAGAATGGAGTCCTGGAGGGAAATTCTGAGCAGAGAGCGAACTGCCACTCGGTATCAGGGATGTGGAGGGGGCGGGAGATCCACAAGCATGAGTAGTAGTAGCATCGGTTTCAACAGGAGATTTTACATGGCAGCTGTCTTTAAAGGAATGATCTCCAGTGACAGGCTTGGAGTGACTGTGTCGCTTGGAACGTGAAGCATTAGGACTGGATGATTGGGATTTAACACATTCATCCACGTCAGGCTGGTGATCGCCTTTGTGCAGTTCAGTCTGACTACAGTACGGTTCATTGTATCTGTCCTGAGCTTGTTCGAGCGTCGCTGTATGCTTCACTCTGCTCTGCTGACTGTTGGGTTGGCTGTTAGCCTGTACTCCGTGTCCACCTCCAGAGGGATGACCATTGCGAGACCAGTCCAGTCTGGATTTCTTGTTACTCTGGTGTCCGTGTAAAAGCGAAGAGCTTGAGGGCATCGAAGAGGAAGGGGGAGGCATGCATGACGAAGAAAGACTGTTACTCTGGTGGGACTGAGCCACTTTGGTCCTTGGTTCTGCGAAGAAACTCTGCTCCATTTTCTCAACAGGAGTCTGCGGAATCATAGACTTGGGGATTCCTACAAGATGACTCTGGTTCGAACGATTCGTTAGCAGATCCTTCATTTCGTCATAGTTCCCTAATGTGCTCTGCACACGGTTTGAAAGAGCATCACCCTTGTTGGTCTGAAAGAAATTAGATGGCATAGAAAACTAACAATAATTATTTTAAGGGACAATCAAAAATCATTTCAAATTAAATCATTTTTAGTTACTCGCTTAACTTACTCAGTTTATCAGTTAACAGCATAATATTTTGTGCGATTTATTTCGAAATTAAGTCACAGTCATCCCCATATCAAACAGAGTTTTCAGTGTGAGGCATTCCCTTTTTGCCGCATTACTAGCAAAGTCAAAGGATACACATCTAATCCTTAGAAGGTCATTCATTTAGCCCTCTGGATAACTGTCATTCTTATTTGAGTTCCCATATAAAAGCAGCCGAAAACAACAGCTAGTGAAACATTCTTTGACTGTAAACTGGTTTTAGCTGTAGAATAATAGCACTGTGTTGCTCAGTTGAAACTGAAATGTAATCTTTAAAACCACAATTTAACATGATGCAGAATTAACTACCCCAATTAAATAAGTACATTTCAGATAATTTGCGATTATTAGAAACAAATGAATAAATAGCATGTGGAACTCATTATAAAAGACTATAATTCTATTCATAATTGTGAGACATATGATATCTATTGTCATATTACAATCAATAATGTGCTTTTTGTTGTTAAATTGAACATAACCCACATTAGATCTCAATGCTGCATAAAAAGCAGCAGGATATTATGAAAATGCTTAAGCGTCACTATTTATCCATTTACAAGGAGAACAACTCCTTACACATGAATAATGTGACAAGATAACACTGGATTCATAAAAGGCTCATTTAGGCTTTGAAATGATGGGCACTTAAATGCTCAATGCTTTTCGCAGTTAAGCAAAATGCTAGCAGGTAAATGGCAGAGTTTATAACAGTTGCACACATTTTCCATTTTCATCAATATCTGTTAGGTGACTAAAAAATAATCCCACTACATATATCAAACTATTTATTTGTTGTACAAAAAAAATTATGTTTATTCTGTACTTATTCCTCCACCCCCACCCCTTGCACCCTGGATTGACTGATTTGCATCAATGAGTTAAAACAAGGGTTGCTCCCATTGCTGGCATTGAATTAGTTTCCCAATGCAAAGGTATGTGGGAACCACAATCAATTTATTTGGCCCAGTGTTTTGAAGCTTGTTGACAATGAGAGTCATCGACAGGCAGTTTGGGCTGTACCTTTGCACTCTGAGTGCCTCCTACATATTATTTGTTCTCCATTCCTCCTGCAATACCCCTCCCAAACCTTGGCTCAATTGTGGAGAGGGTGTTACTTAATGCTCACAGAGACATCAATTGTACCTGGGTCTCGGTTTACTCTATAAATTAAGCAGTTTAGAATACTCGGAAACTTGGCAAATCAGTTTTGAATTTGAAAATGGGTTCATTGTGGTTCTTAAAAGATGTTACATAAAACCTGCCTTCAAAATTATCGATCTACTTAGAAATGTGCAAAATTCTGGAGGCTCTAAAATGTTATGCAAGAGAGTAAATCTAGACCCAGGTGGAATTTCTCCTGAACAATTTGTCCATATTAGTTTTGACTCAGAAGATTTCTAAGGGAAGTTGCCCATTTACCTTTGGAGCCCACTATACCACCAATTTATATTGATCTCAATTATACACAAATTATGTTGCAATATTTCCACTTTGTGCTCATTTTGCTGGCCAGAGTGAGAACAACAACAACAACATTACATTTGTATAGCGCCTTTCGGGTCGGGAGGACGTCCCAAGGTGCTAAAAACAACAGAGCTTTGATTCTTAAGTCACGGGACTCAGTTCAATCAACAACGAGAGACATTGTTACTTAGTAGTCAAATAGTAGTTAGCTTTAAAAGTGTTTTTTTGTAACACAAGCCTTCCATATGTTGCAAATTTCACAGCTTGTAAATAGGCAGCGATTCCGACACATTTGTACGAATTTGCCTGAATTTTACGAATAATTACTGATGTGATCCAGTTATCCAGCTAGGTAGATAATCCTGAATTCTCCTGCTGCAGTTTCCATATTATTACACAACATTCCATATAGATAAGAAACTGCTGAATAACTCGATAAATGGTTCCCCCCACCCCCCACCACCCGCCCCACCCTGCCCCCACCAACCCCCAACCGAAAGATTTTTAATGCACTTGGACCAGGCTACCTTGTAGGGCTCACTGAAAAGATTAAAACTCGAAGCAAACAGATCCTCATCTTGATTGACTTCTTGGTTCCGTCTCTCCCATTCTTTCCTTCGCAGTGCATTCCGATCCTGTTCGTAGTGACTGCAAATACAATGGGGAAAGGAAATTGAAAGAAATAAACGTGGGATGTCAGTTAGCCGAGAGTTTTATGAGCTGACAGAGTGCCACGACAGAATGATGGATCAAATTTATGTCTGTCAGAAGGAGTACTGAAAGCGCCCAGGTCCCCTGATGCACTGAACAACTGATTTTGTGGAAAGAAGAGTGGGCAGTGGGGGAAAGAGACAATTAATACCCTGAAGAAAAAAAACAAAGGAGTATGCTTCAACCTGCACTGACAATTCTCATGAGACATTCAGCAAGGGGACACTTCTGTTCATTCAGCTTGCATTGATTTGTTATGAGCTTTTGGCTGCATTTTGTATCAGTTAATTAGTGAACAAATTCAAGATGACAATTTAAATAGTACATTGCACACACTGATCTTATCTGTTGCAAATAAAACCCGGCATCTGCTTTTTCTCCCCCCCGCCCCACAAAATACAAAAGGCTAATACCAATATCTGTTATAAAAGTGAAGCATTTAATCTCTGCAGAGCTCAACTGCAGTTGGAAGATAACCAAATAGCTCCAACCAATTTTCCAGTATTGTAAACAGATCTACTGAATGCTTCACATGGTGAGATATAATGAGGAATGAACCATACTGCTAGGAGAATTAAATACTATACAGCAATCTCTCCATCGGCATTAAAATGTCAATTATTAATCTGAAACAGCAGCTAATTAAACTTGTGGTTGATTATTTAGCCCCTCTATTATATTAGTTGCAATAATGTTTACAATTATATACCATGTTAACGATAATCAATCTCTAAAAGCAATCAAGGATAAAGTGGTTTACTTTTTATATTATAAATCTGTTGGCTTTTGTTCCAAATTCTTATAAATTGGATCATAAAAGCCTTTCATAAAATGGCAGAAAGGAATATTAGGCACAAGAATATTGAAGCTATAGGAGCACAGAACTAGACACTTCAAAAACTCAGAAAACTACAGTAACAATAACCTATTAGACAAGAGATTTGTAATAAGCTAAATTGTATTTAAAGAATAATGAACATAAAGAAGTGCAATAATTAGTGAGTAATGTACCTGATGATTAGATTAGGCGTATTACAAAGTCAAGTAGTTGAAATACTTCAGAAATGCATTTATCAGCTTGTCACTTTATTGGTAAGTGCTACTATCTTTACAGCTTATCTACTTGCTTTGAAAGCTTTGAAGTACTTGTTTTAAACCGAGGTTTGTGGCAAATGTTAGCATTTTTACAACGCACATGATAGTTCAAAAGCGAAACTGTAAAAATATTGTATACTTGATTTATAATTGAATATATTACAGTTTGGTAGCTATGAATGAATAGTGTTTAGGATTCAGGATTCAGGAGTACACCTCATGATTTGTGTCCTGCAACAGCCTAGTCTTTAAGGGCTGTAAGGCTACACAATGGCAAGCAACACAACCTGAAGAGATCATCAAGTCAATCAGTGGATCCTGACCTAAATTCAAGCTCTCACATGCTTCACAACTCCTTCTACATATGATTAAATAAACTAACCTGATCCCACTCCAGAGGTGTGGAGAGACAAAAGGATAAAATTATAACCACAGGGAAAAGAAACCAGTCAAAAACCAAAACATTCATATTTATAAACAGAATGGTAGCTCATAATTACTGTATTACATGTTTTATTTCTGTGGGTAGAATATTACAATGGTCACAATTTGTTCCAAAGCTAACTAGATTTAAAGATGAAAACATATTATTACATCAAGGCTGAAGGCCATGTTTTTAGATCGGTGTAAATCGATGGAAAGCTGAATTACTTTCTCTTATGTTAGGCATTTGCACAGTGCCAGGAATTCTATCAGGTCTGCCAGCAGAATGTCATTGTCATTCCCCTTAATACCTGCCGAGTAACCATCAAGGTGTATTTTGCACAGAAATTGCACATAAACAGGAGAAGGCCATTTTAAGCCTATTCAACAAACGGCATTGATCCACCTGCGGAGCAGAGTAATGTAGCAATGCCAAAGTTCTTACACGAAGACTTTGAGGTAAGAAAGGTATGGAAACCCCAGTAGGCCAGTTAAAAGCTATACTGGCTTTCAACAGGAAACTCAGGATATTCGGAATTTCCAAGCAATGACATCTGACGTGCACAAAACGTTTTAAAAATAGATAATTTTATTGATTTTCCATCTCCTGGAAGCCAAAATTAATACGTTGGAATCAGTTTTCTTCTTTGCCTCCTGCTTGTTGCGGAATTTCCTGCGAACAGATTAAAAACAATTTTGTAACACGAACCCTATGGTTTCTGATTTTCCTTTTGAGGTTATCATTGAAGGAGTGCTGACATTGACTACGAAGACATGGGCAGAACTTTATGTCCAGCATGGTGCAACAGCAACAATGCAAAATACAAGTGTCAGGCAAGCACTGGTGCAAATAGAAGGTTTATAGCAGCAATAAAGAAACTGACAGTTTTACTCAGTAGCGACAATGTTACAGATAAACGTGCATTAGGTATTTTCAGTCATCAGCAGCCCTCTTGGTGAAAGTGAAACTAATGTTAGGAACAAAGGGAAAGGAATAGGCTATTTGGCCCATCAAGTCTACTCCGCAAATCTTGCACAAATCTAAGCTATTTATTTCACAGGGAATTATTTGGGTAAATATGTGTACCTTTGTGTCATTTTGGCTCAATTTCAAACTGTTGCTAACACTTTGGCAACTTTGACAACACAGGATGATGAATGTTAAACCCAGACCATTCAGTGCTGAGTAATGAGCACTTAAAACTCCCTCTACAACAGCTGATAGTTCTTTGCAATCCAACACTATAATTTCCTAGTGGCAAATGACACAATAGCTTTGCTTTCATCCATTGAGGTGTTTAATCTCTGTGAAGCTCAAATGTAGCTGGAAAACACAACACTGTGCCTGTTTTCCCTTCTTATTTTTTGGGGTCTAACCAGCTAAAACCGCATTTCCTGCCTTACTGTTATTAGCATTAGGGCCCCTGAGGACCACCTTGGTCAAGAGACTTTCAGCCTCAGCTAACCTTTTGTTTGCGACAGTCAACGCATTAAATAGGTTACAGTGCATATATTCCCTTCACGAATCCGCAAGTACTTGGGCTGAAGTGGTCTAAGGTATCCTACGGAAGTGAATCAATTTCAACTAAAGTCAACATTGTCCTGATCTCTGCTCTTCGTTGCCTTGATTGTTCTTCCACTCTAGATCCGTTTTGAAGCAGGATGGACATCACCATGTAGATTTCGAGATCACCTGTTTCAGAGCCATCAAGATCCATTTTGCTCCTTGAAGCACAGCAACTGTCTTAGAACTGGCACTGCTGAAACCACAACCGGATGAGGTGGGTTAGGTGCACCACCACAAGCTAAGATCTTTCCATTTCCTCTCCAAAGTGGAGCCATGGTATTATTATACCAGCAAAATGCACGAGCGCACTCTTCAGAAACTGGGACCAAAACAGCTCTGCTGTGCTGGTGATCTCCGTGCTACTGCTTTTCACTTGTAAATGTTATTTCTTTCCAAACCTTGCAGGTCCCAAAATGATCAATAAAAGGTGACTGAACAGTCTGGAAACAGTCCCAATCTTTTTTCATGTCTCTTTGACGTGTACTTACAACAACAACAACAAGATTTAATTTATAGAGCGCCTTTCACGTCAGGAGGACGTCCCAAAGCGCTGGACAGTTGGGTCAGGACCCGAGCAGGGGGGAAATGGTCAGGATGAGGGGAGGGAAGGGAGGGAGCGAGGAGGGGGTAGAGAGTCGAGAGGGGAGCTGAAGGCACGGTCAAAGAGAAAGGTCTTGAGACCGGCCTTGAAGGAGGAAAGGGAGGAGACAAGGCGAAGGCACTGGGGGGATGGAGTTCCAGAGCCTAGGGGCTGAGAGGCTGAAGGCCCGGCCACCGATGGTAGGGCGGTTGGGATGGGGGATGTGGAGCAGACCGGAGCCAGAAGAACTTGAAATGACAGCTAGAATGTAGAATAAAGTGTACGTTTTGCACACATTTATTGTAAAATGAAAGGGCCAAATAGGTGAAGAAAAAACTATTACTAATCGATCAAAATAAATAGGGCTGCACAGAAATGGACTGGGACTATAGAGAGTGGGTAACCAAAAGGTAGGCAGTGACAGTAAAGGAGGTGATAGAAAATGGGCTGGACACAAGATGATGTGAGTGTACAGTAATATACCTGTGTATAACTGCCAACACAGCATTGTTATAAGGGAATCTTTACCCATCAGAGGACATTTGGTCTGTTGTGTCTGTGCTGGTGATCTCACTGGAACTTTCTACTCTAATCCATGCTCTTCTCCCAAACCTTTTCACATTATTTTTCCTCACGTGTAATTGCCCTTACGAAAACAACATCAAAAGATTTCAAATGACAACAACAACTTGCATTTATACCGCGCCCTTCACGTGGGGTAGCGTCCCCGAGCGCTTTGCAGAGGCGGGTGTAAATTTGTGCGCTGTGCGTATAAGTTGGGAATCGCCTGGTTCATCAACCTACCCAGCCATCACTGGATTGCGTGCTGTACTTTTTTTTTAAATGTCATACATTTAATCAAAACAGGAAAGTGATGTTAATTTTTTTTAAAATCTGATATTAAAGGTTTATGATGATGTGGATTATTCCAGTTGCGGTTTCTGACTGAGTGATAACTTCAGAGTTAGCAGCCTATCATGAATTTGCAGAAATGAGCGTACGTATGACTTTGATTCAGTTAATGATTCTACAAACCTCCAAAACTTGACATATGTGCAGGAGTAGGAGTCCCACGCCCGAACACACGTACACCGCCACTTTCAGAGGTTTTGAAACCTTTTCATGTTTTTTTTGTGAAGTGCAATTGCACATGTTCAAAGGCCTGGATGTGAGCAGCTGCACTCGGTTCGAGTTGGGCCAAATGGCGAGAAGTTGAAACAACCTCAGTGAAATGACCAAACTTGGGCTGGCTCACCGACTGGAGCACTTGGG